AGTATGAGTACTATATTCAGCCAATACATAAGTATGAGTACTATATTCAGCCAATACATAAGTATGAGTACTATATTCAGCCAATACATAAGTATGAGTACTATATTCAGCCAATACATAAGTATGAGTACTATATTCAGCCAATACAATACTTTCTGACGTAAGAAATCATAAGTTCGAGTATATAACGCAGACAAATATGAATTAGGAAATCTCGTCGAGTGTAACCACTATCAAAGACTTTAAATAGCTGATCATTCCAGAATTCAGCGGTATATTCTGGGGTTAGAATATACACCCCAACAGCTGTAAACATTTACGTTTTAACGTGAGATAAGTGTAACAATCTCAACATAAAGTGAAATGTTTAAAATACAGTGGAAGTATTACAAAGAAACAGGCAACATGGTAGATCCTTGGCTGAATATAGTACTCATACTTATGTATTGGCTGAATATAGTACTCATACTTAATTACCAGTCTGACATACCTATTGATATTCCGGAGCTTGAGGAACATACAATCTAATACACATTAAGAGGGTATTGTACTGTAATGATTCGTACATTTTCATTACCAGTCTGACATACCTATTGATATTCGGAGCTAATAATGAGAAGCAATATAATTTAAAATTTCACCAAGACGAGTGATTAGTAGCATCTCTTTCCAATCGAATATTTTGTTTTGTATTATTTACTGAAGCTTAACTTGTGACAGGACTCTTGTAATGTTCATGAATTCATCATCTCAAAAAACTCCCATCGAAGTGTATTTACCGATGAATATCCTAATACGTTTTAGTTCTATGAGAACGATTATTTACTATTTATAATACGTAGGTTTCTTGTGTATTCGATTCAATTTATATATGTACATATGTGTTTGTGTGTATGTGTGAAAATGTGATTTCTTTCGAGTGCGGTCTGGAATACCTATTGATATTCCGAGCTTGAGGAACATACAATCTAATACACATTAAGAGGGTATTGTACTATAATGATTCGTACATTTTCATACCAATAACGGGTCAGAGAGTTTATCTAATAACAGGCAGAAATTTTATACCAATAACGGGTCAGACAATGTTATACCAATAACGGGTCAAAGAATGTTAAATCAATAACGGGCCAGATAATTTTATACCAATAACGGGTCAAAGAGTTTTATACCAATGCGCATTATTAGTCTTCTTTAAACTTGACCTACATTGTATACTATACATGAAGCGTTAAACTGAATAACTAAAACATTGTATGAAGTGAAGCCTGAAATTTGTTAAAACGAGGATCCAAAGAAATAATAGTTAAAATAGCTTTTCCCCAACACAGTGTTGAAAAACAGTTAATTACCAGTGTCATAAGTTTTTAGGTAACGACACCGTGACTGAATATCTGTAAAATATACAGAGTTAGTTTACCATCAGAAACTTCTTACAACACACAGAGTTAAGATTTTTGTTACGCTCTCATGAATAAGGTCACGAAAAAAGAATTATCAAAAAAGCCACAAGTTGTAGGATTAGGTTTTGAGGCTTAGGCTGTGTGTGTATGTGACTATTTTACTACGGTCAACATCTGAGTGAACGGAGTTTAAATTACGAGGTATAATTTCTGGCATATCCATGTATACGTACGTCTATAAACAGGAAATAGTAAACGTATAACAAAAATAGATGAATGAGAAGTCACTTCAAAGTTGAATAAACGTGCCCTCAAAACCAACAAAGAAATTATATCTGTACGTTTCGTTGTGCGAACTCTAGCGGCCGTTGTGAATGTTTTAAAACAACAAATTCCCTTAGAAGGATTTCTTTCAACACATCAACGTTTCGCTGTTGTTAGTCCTGTTTCTCTTACACGTCGTTACTTGTGATTCATGTGTCCAACTTAGGTGTTCGTTGTATTTAGTGACTTCTCAAATCATCATCATTACTTAACTCGTAGAAACTGTTACTGCTCATTATCTGTAACGATATGTACACGTTCACTGCCAGCCTTGAATAAACACTAATATTTAGAGTTAATGAGATACATACAATCTAATACACATTAATAAGGTATTGTACTGTAATGATTCGTACATTTTCATTACCAGTCTGGAATACCTATTGATATTCCGAGCTTGAGGAACATACAATCTAATACACATTAAGAGGGTATTGTACTATAATGATTCGTACATCTAAAACTCTCTGACCCGTTATTAGTATAAAACTCTCTGACCCGTTATTGGTTTAAAACTCTCTGACCCGTTATTGGTATAAAACTCTCTAACCCGTTATTGGTATAAAACTCTCTGACCCGTTATTGGTATAAAACTCTCTAACCCGTTATTGGTATAAAACTCTCTAACCCGTTATTGGTATAAAACTACTCTGACCCGTTATTGGTGTAAAACTCTCTGACCCGTTATTGGTATAAAACTCTCTGACCCGTTATTGGTGTAAAACTCTCTGACCCGTTATTGGTATAAAACTCTCTGACCCGTTATTGGTATAAAACTCTCTGACCCGTTATTGGTATAAAACTCTCTGACCCGTTATTGGTAGGAAACTCTCTGACCC